TGACTGATTTGCTGAAAATATTTGGTGTGAGGCATGAGACTGACAATTCCTACACTATTTCTTTCCAAACGCGGGCATGACAGCCATTCGGTTCCTTCAAGCTGGAGGGATGCCATCAGCCTTGGCTGTAGCAATTTCCATTCTGCACTTGTAATCCTTTTAGCTGCCTTGCTTTGCCTTGTCTCCACAGATAATGTGAGCATTATTATTGGAAACTGAGGCAAAGTGTTCATCTAGCCTTATGGGCCTCCATAACCTAAAGGTTATCCTTGCTTTCTACCTTTTCCTCATTCATATTGCTGCCTCATTTCTTCTCTCTTTTTCGCTCATTTCTGTAAGTTTCATTTGACACAAAATACCCTTTGCCCAATCTATACTATTGCTTTGAAACACAGTAGTAAAACATGTTAGATTATATACCCTGATCAGGATGTACCTTAGGTCTCAGTATCTTGTGTCCAATGATGTTTTAACAGCATCATTTGCCAGTACTCTCACCGCAAATACCTTTCTTAACCCACAGTCCAATTTATTCACAGCTTTGGTATCATACCCACCAAGAACAGCCCTATTATTTTAAAGTTATATTACAATGATTAAAGCTAAAGAAATAAACAAAACATAATGTAAAATCCTCAAATACCATAAAGCTTTAGTTTATGTTTCATATAAAATTAGGATCATAAAGCAATACTGCTCTCAAAAAGTAAAATCAAAAGCACGCTAGGCAGAACCTAAGGGACTGAAAACAAAGCAATATCAAACAGGGGTTGCTATCTCTGCTATCAAACATCTAACACTTAGCTGCCCATCCAAGCTATCACAGCATTTGTTTGCTGTAGCTTCTCAGTGATTGCTGAAGTACCTTTTCTGCACAGTTCTGCCCTCAGGCTCCTTCCTCCCTCTCTCTCTTTACAGAGATACTGAACACTGTCCTTTTCTGACAAAGCTCCCTGTATGATCTCATCCTGTCGTCCCCTTGTCTGGCCTCTGCTTGGCCTCCTGACAAAAGCAAAAGTAGCTACAAGAGCAATGAAGTTCAGTAGCTCGATGAAGTATTTTTTTTTAAAATATTTCAGAGCAGAAAACTATTCCCTCTCTTCCTCTTCTTTTTTTTTTTTTTTGAAATAAACCTTATGATCACTGAACTCTGTTCTACAGACATTAAAATAAAGCTACCAAATCACTTAAAATTTTGTACAGGAAGGACAAAAGCAGTAGATATGCTCAGAATAGGTCCCAGCAAGCACTATTCAAAAAGAAGGTCTTCTTCAGGCTTAAGGAAGAAAGAACAGAATATGCAAACACCCTGCACTCAGGTACTAGGCGGGACTGAGGTTGCTGCAGTCTGCAAGCAAATGAGCAGGCAGGTCACCTGCTGGGCCATTCCCTATAGGTGTCACAACAAGGCAGAGGAATTTGCTGTGGAAGGTTTGGGGAGCAGCTGTCAGCGAAAGAGACACGGATATTTTTAAAGGCTTTGTCATTTGTCTTTAGGGTGGGAAATGCTTTATTTGACCTCCTGCTGAGGGAGCGGGTCCCTATGCAGCAGCATGGGCTAAAAGAATAAAAGGAGGCACAGCTATTATTTCAGGTACAAACACCAGAAAGCAGAGACAAAAGGCACAGTCATTAAATCATCGTTACTATTTAAAAGCGCACATGACAACTTTTTAATACTTTTCATGCCACACAGGTCTTCCCTCAAGGCATTCTCCAAAACAATTTATATTAGCTAATTGTTAACTGTGTCCACGGCCAAGGAAAAGAAGCACAACATCAAACACTGTCTGGGCAACACCAAACAGATCTGGATTGGAAATGCCAAGGAGCTGACAGCTCTTGGCAAGTTCCCCTGCTTCCCCCTGCCCCGGCTGAGGCTGTGCCACCTGAGAAGGTTACTGTCCCACCTGGCTCCAGCCTCTCATCTCTCCCTGCTTCCCCCCAACACTTGCCTGTACTCTGATCTGCCATCTGCAGCTCCTGTAATCACTCCTCAACCTCTTCAGCTTGGCAGGGAGCGACCACCTGGTTTACACCAACTGGGGTGTTGTGTTGTGACCTGTGCCACTTTGGCAGCTGGCTGCTCTGCCCTCCAGCCTCAGGCTCCAGCTCTCTTCCAGCAGGGATAACTGAGATGCTTGGGCACTGCCACGGGGACCCTCACTCTCCTGGGGCTCTGCAGGGAGCCAGTCAAGCAGAAAACGAGCCGTACCAGCAAAAGTTCTTCTGACAGCCCAGGTCCCTGAGCAAGCTCATGCTGGGAATCACTGGAGCAGGACTACCAGTTGCACTGGTTCAACTGCCTCTGCAAACCAGCAGACCTGCAGAACATCAGGCTGGGGTGGTTCACTTGCTCCACAGAGCAGAGCTGCAGAGCCTGCCAGCCACCACTGCCAGGCCACTCCAGGCGTCACAGCCGGCAGGACATCAGTCAACAAGTCTTGACCTACATGAAGAGGCACTAATAGTGCATGGCCCTTCAAAAGGATTTGGTGCAAATATTTTCTCCGGTGTTCACCTACCCAAATGCATTTCAATCAGAAAAGGTTTTTCTCTCCTTACATTTCAGAATGTCAGACACTAAACAATATGGATTAAAAATGTTTCCAGAGCGATCCCTTTGGCAGCATTAAATTCATACCTGGAGGAATGAATTCAAACCATTGTGAATTCCCCTTAAGCCCAGAGGAAGGGAAAAAAAAATGCTTATTCATTAAAAATAATGCCATTTGATATCTACATCAGGGGACTCGTGTAGGAAAGTGACTGAAAGAAGTGTTGAAGGTGTCTTTCAATAGATGTAACACAAAAAAAGAATAAGTTACTCAAAACGACATGCAAGCATCCTTGACAATAACTTAAACAAATAATGAAAGGCAGCGTTCAATGATGCACACTGTTTACAAAAAAAAACAAAGGAAAATCTCAACATTTTTACAAAAATCAAGTGAGGGAGCAGAGTCCTGTTGCTCTGATTTAGAAATCAGAAAATGTTAACGCACTCAGATTGGAAATTAACCCTTTCAAAAACAGGATGTTCTGAAATGACCTTACATTTGTAATCCCAGCCTTTCAGTCTTTCAAATTTCCCATTCAATCCCATAGCTCTTGCAGATCGAATGTGAATGTGACATCCCTTAGAGTAGGGGCTATATGTGACATTCCACAAAACATGTTACGGTGTGTCCCAAAATATAAGTATTTAATACAGACAATAAAAGCAGTAAAAAGCACAATGTGGATAGGCATGATGAAATCCCTGGAATAACTGGGGAAGCAACTGTATACATAGTAAACTAAAGTAGTTGTGAAACCAAATATTTAAGATCATTGGAAATAAATTAGTTGTATAAGCAACTGAGAAATAGGACTGAGAAGGTTTTTAGAATACACTGAGAGAAGAGCACATGATTTAATTCCCAGCTTTCCCAGTATTGTATCAATTAACAATGGAAAGACTGAAATCTGTACAAATTGCTCGAGCAAAAGTAATTACTGGCAGAAATCAAACATTGACACTGGGCTTTTCTAGAACGTGATGACTGACCAGCATTTTTCAAGACTATCTCCTCATCCGAGCCCTAAAAGAAAAGGACTGCAACATGGAAAGATCTGAAGACTCACAACCACACCTTCACTAACACAATGATAGAGACACACCTCAGGAAGAGTTGGTAAGAGAGGGGACATGGCTACTTTTAATCAGTAGATTTTCAAAGGAAATACAGTTTTAATGTCTCAATGCACTCATAGCTGGAAATCCTCATTTAAGTAGTTTAAAAAAAAATAAAATCAAGAAGAGATGTGATAGCTAAGGATTGGAGTAACTTATTAGAAATAGGGAAGAAAGGAAGATTGTGTCTGGTCAACTGTATATTTTATCTTCCACAAAGTTTTCCGGGATGAAAATCAGAGAGATTCCACATTTAGTAAAATTAAGCATCCCTTCCCATACAAAGAAAAAAAAAAAAAAAAAACACTAAGTCCAGTGAATATGCCTTGATGTGAAAGCCACTTTTGCACAAGGAACTGCTTAGAGCACTTAGGACAAAAGGTAGCCAGAAGTAAAGCAGTTTGGGGCTGAAAAAAAACACTGAAAAGGAACATGAGAAGAAATGCTAACACCCAACAGTTGAATACAATTACTGTTTTGGAAGAAGGTAACCTTTTCTGATGTTCTAAAATGGAGACTGCATACCAGTTTAGTACTAAGCAGAAAAGTTATCCATGCTCAGTCTGGAATGGAACAGTTATCTGCCTGTTTTCTAAGCCAGTGCACATTATGTTGACATTCATCAGCTAAGAAAAGGAGAACCAGAATTAAATGCTCCAGTTAAATCAAACATGTGAGAAGCAGAGAGATCCTGAAGTGCATTTTCTAACTCTACTACACAGAAGAGCAATGGCAATACATCGTGATCAAATATTGCTACTTGATCAGAGCCCTGTAACGGATTATTGCTGTAAAATACTGGAAAAATGGCTACTTAGTATTATACCAATAGCATTGCCACCTCCTCTTTGCTCAAAATTCTAAAGCTAATGACTAGATGTACAAGAAACCATGGTACTTGTTTGCACAGACATATACAGTCAAGGAATAAAAGTTTGGCAATAGATACATCAGGGAATGCAGAATGAATGTGAAAGATTTAGAGGCTGACGCATGACAGAAAATCAATGGTTTACCAAGATGGAGGGGCCTGAGTGTGTTCACTCTCACCATGAAATTACTGAACATCCATGCTTCTGGAAGTAACATTTCATCTATAAGATCAAACAGGGCAACGAACAGCACTAGTTGAGGAAAATACAAATTTCCCAAGTCATGTATCCTCAGACAGCGTGCTACCCAAATGCCAAAAGCAGTAGCACTATTACCACCAAATACAAGTTTGTTCTTGTTTTTTAAAGAATGCACAATAGTCACAGGTAGTGTTTATTCAGAACATGACCATCCAAGCATCACTAATGCATCAAAAAAAGGCTTTTCCTACCAGCTGATTTTGGAGTGAATTTGTCCCTGTTGGCTGCACATACTGCCAGTAGCCTGTATCCAAGATCCAAGTCAAATCCTTGCTGAGCTGCCACTCGACTAACCACCTGCAAAGGAAAGAGAGAAAGCTTCATTAGAAAACTCTTTGCAAAGTTACATTAACCTTCTCAGCAGCAACGTTAGGTAACCCAATCTGTTGTGATAGCTACAGTACAAGTATGGTATAAGGGATTGCTCTCCAGTGGTTTCCAGTGTAATCACAACAAACTGAACTGGTGAGTCTTCTGGTGATCCAGTAATTTTACCACTCGCCAGAAGAAGGGCCTGGCAGTTTCAGGAAAGTTGAAGAGACAAAGCTTTTCCAGGAGAAAAAATGCAAGAGAAGCTTATGCCAAGATTGTACAGAATACATTTTACTGTACTTGAGACTTCAGGCTGAAAAGTCCCCTAAGTCTCTATCTCTGTGTCACAAACTGTTCCTGGCCCTGTTCTCACGAGCAGTGCCCAGGTCCTTTAGGTTAAAGTGCCCTCCTCCACGCTGATGGGCAGTGTTCTCCTGCGCTGTGATCAGTCACAGTTGCTGCATTTCAACAATACCATATTGGGAAACATATTTACTACAGTTTTAGAATAAATAGGCCTGTGCAAGAAGTACTTGCCAAACACATTAGTAGGGAAAGAAGTTTTTCCAGTTTGCTTCTGGTTTTGTTTTTTTTTCTTTTTTGACTGATCTAGAAGGAGTAGCAAAACCAGACAAATCAAAGACTGGGGTGAAGGATGAAAAGTAGTCAACTGTTTCTCCAGGCCAGCAACCCAGCTATCAGCCAAGAATGTATCCTCATGAAAATCTGCATAGTATAAACACAGTACTGCGGTCATCCTGGCAAACTCTTCTGAAGCTACACACAGCAGAGCTTTTATATTGCCTTCTAGTGGCACAGGATGACTTCAGACCCAGAGGCATAGATAAAACAGATTATTCTTAACATTGCCATTCTGGCTTTGCATTGAAACAATGGTCAAGGCACTCCACAAGAAACAGAACAACATTTCCTTCTGTGAAGCAAAAGAAAGTCCATCACTGCTCTGTGACCCCCTTGGTCAACACGAATAGGGTGGTTCACTTTTTGTTTCCAGTTTCTTCATTGGTTACAAATTTTTGCATTAACTTCGTTTAAAGTTTGAAGTTTTTCCCTTCAATTGTGACAGCTAAACACTAACTTTATTTCAAAATGAAAATCGAATTGAACAGGTCTTACAATCTCCAAAGACCCCGTGTCAGGTTGCCCACAACTGAAGTGGGACACGGCTCACTCGCTGTTTGGAAGGCTTTCCTCTGGTGAACCTTATGCAAGGGACCTCCTGGCCTTTTAACTAAACACTGAGATTTCTCAGAACAAGACGACAAACGCGTCATAGGAATATGATCCAGAAAACGCAGAGAACTAACTACAAGACATTTGGTAAGTTTAATGCAGTCAGGTCAGCAGACCCTGCTGAAATTTACTTTCCTGTGCCTCAAAGGAACTATCCCGGGCAAACCTTGTAACTGCCCATGATTATCTTCAGGAATTCAGTCAAGACAGACACCTTGGAGGCACATCTGATCTCTGGTTTTAAGATAGTGAAAACGTGAATCTCAGAAATTGCAGGTACCCAGACAGACACCAAACCAAATTGCTAAACAAATATTAGGTCATTAATACAGATCCTCGTGAATCCATCAGCACAGTGCAGTTTTCCTCTTTGATGAGTTAACTGGCTTTGTATATTTAAGGAAGATAGTGGGTGTAACATATCTTAACTCTAGTATGCCCTTTGACATTGCCCCTATTTGACTCTGTCCTAAGAGAGGAACATGGCCCACATGACAGTAGTGTAAATTTTACTCAGATTATTAATTTATAGTCCTCTGTCAAATCATAACTTATCTTGGATACAGGACATTTCTATGTATTCAGTCGTGACTTGGACAATGAAACAAGAGTGAATTCCAAAACCTCTAGACGATAACATGCAGAAGAGTCTGCAAACACTTAAGAGGACTGGATAAGAGTTTAAAATAATCTTTATAAACTGGAAAAATGTTCCAAAACCCAGGCCAAAGACACATATGAAATACTATAGATGGGAAAGAAAAATCAAATGCCCAGATAGAAAATTAGGAACACAGCAGAATTCATCCGCTCAGTGTACAAGTGACTAAGGATAAATACTGGGAAAATGTTGTAGGGTATTAAAGATCATCAAGCACTGGAACAGGCTACCTGTCAATCCCTGGAGGTTGGGGGATAAGGGGATTTATAGGAGACCAGACACCATGCTCCCCTTGGTCTGTCCCAAGCTGAATCTCAGCGACTCCAGACACCTGCTGCTGACTGGAGCCACCCAGCTGAATATGAACCCTGGCCCAGGAGCTCTCCCAAGTCTGAAACCTCCCTGTGCTTTCATCTCACTCAGGTAACAGTGCTGATCAGATGGGGTTGAGTCGACACAGTTTCCATTATCCATTCAATGTTATGGCTAAGTGATAAGATACTGCTTGCAAACACACTCAGACTTTCTCTAACTGCTAATTCAAGTTGGGCACAGCAGCAAAGATTCAGACAACATGCAGGTGGCACCATGTGTTCAATCACGACTTCATTTTGCAATGCTGTAAGCCATGTATCTTAGTTGACCTAAGCATACATGCCATAAAATTCCTTTGAAGAGTAGTGCATTTCAAAAAAAATAACAGACATAGCAGCCAGTGATACTGCAATCATAAATTGAGATCATCATCCTTTATCATGGTTGAGAGAGGAGCTTGGCCAGCCCAAGGTTCAACACTCAATATTTCTGTTATTTTACAATAACAGTTGAGACAGTTAGACCTTATAAAAGCCAGCCTACTTCCTACATATGCTTGTAACACCTAGCTTTTATTTTAACTTAGATACAGTTCCGACAACTATTTCTAGCCTTGTCTTTAAAGGAACATATGCTTTGTTTGTAAACAAACATAATTGTAACATTAACTGCCAATAAGAAAATTTGATCACCCCAAACCTTTGAAATCTCAAATCTGGATAATATTGCATTCATAACCAAGCCATTGCATTCGCTGCCCGTGACACAGCTCTGCAGAGTTGTGAACTGCATCTGCAGATGCCTGAACTCTCAGGGTCATTGACAGTGAGGGGAAAACGATGAGAGTGAGGTTTTAATAACATGAAAAACAGAAATTCAGCCACCAACCTCTTTTCTCTTTGCTAAATTTAACTGCAATACTCCCTTCCCCCCATGGTTTTTTTTTTTCTCTCCTTTCTCCTTTTGGAAGGCTAAAGAGCTACAGCATGGCAAGCTCCACTCCCTGCCCTCCCTGACTCCCTGTCATCACACCACAAAGTACTGGAACAATGTACCTCTTAACCTAACAGGCCTGTTAATCAAGAGAGCTATACGACTGCTTATTACAAAACTCCCTTCCCATTATGTTGCACTTTCAATGAATCTCTTAACTAGCAGCAGTCAAGAGCACCCCCCCCTGCTGGCATCAGAATGAATTTTACCAATTCAATTTGCTGGCTGCTCAAAACTAAAAATGCCATCTGATTGCTAGTTCAGACAGCTCTGTGTTCAGCCACTTGTGCATACTTGAAATTATCTGAATGCAGTTTGAAGACTACAGCAGAAATTTTGTAATTAGAATTCTGCAATGTAGATGGTAATTTTTCCCCCTCAGTAACACACAAAGATCAGATAAACAGGAAGCAAATTGAGGATTTTTGCAACATGAATAGTGATCTGCCTCAAACAGGGAAGAAGAAAAAAAAAGGGGGGAAAGGGAAGAAGAAATCTTTGTAATCTGAAGTCCTGGTCTGATGAGACTCTTACACTCCAGTTGCAGAAGGGCTGCCTCAACAATACAGACAATCAAAGCAGGTCAGTAAAGTTTTATATCATTAACTAGTTTCTTGCTTTTGATGCTTGAAAACAGACATTAAGTAGGTTCTGCAAATTTAAGAGACTCTATTCAAACCTGTATTCTAACTAGGGTTTTCTTATTTCCCACCCCATTAGATGGATAGGACCACATTTTCAAAATAAAATAAACCAGTATCCCTGCCATCTACTACTTTTCTTGACACTTCCTGCAACAGTGAAGTAAACCATAAGGATATCTTCTCTTTCACATCCTCTTCCTCTCCTCTGTGTCTCTAACAGCCATCAACATAGGAGGTCACTCTACTCAACCCTCTCCATCTGAAATTTTCTCCCAGAGGGAAAGATGCAGGGATTTTGCTTCAATTAAGTCAGCTGATCACTCGGTCACTGCAACACTGTCGCCACCTGAGTCCTCGCAGACTTCAAACAATGACATGGACAAAACATACAACCATCATTATGAAGAAAGTGATAAAGGAATTCCAAGAGCATTTTAATGTGGACAGCAACACATCTCAAACAAATAGTTTAAAGCTGTAAAATAAACTGTGCCTTGACTGACAAATTCAAGGTTAAAGAAGGGCTTTAGGACACGGTGAGGTCACTCGACAGCCGGTAATACCGAGTTATCTGGTAGCATTATGAGCTGCTCTGCAGCAGAGTGTTCTGTGCCTGCTGGCTGTGCTCTGTGTGCTGGGATGCACTGCAAACATACACCATCGTGCTTAACAAACGCATGGAGAGGACAATGGAAGCAGAATTTCTTCCACCTGAACTTTTTGTTCTGGAAGTCTTACATACAAAGACTAAATGTAACATTTCTAGGGCTCTAATGGGCAGCTGCATCCTGCCATTTTCTGGATATAGATATGCCAAACCAACTCTTCCATCTGTAATTGCCCACATTCAGATTCTAACCTGATTTGAAATCTGATTTTTTGAATTTCACATGTTGATTATACACACTTTTCTGCATTAAACGGAATCAATCCAGCCAGTCATGAAGTCAGTGTAGCAGCAGATAACCTTGTGAACATGTTACCATTAACTTGACTTTGTTGTGGAAATTTTAATCAACTCCCCGTAGGAGAAGTAGTGTTACATACCAAAGAACACGGAATTCATTGTGATTTCAATAATTTATAGAATCAATGATTTCAATTACAATTCACTGTCTGGCCTACAGACAGTTCTATTTAATTTGAAAATAACTACTGTTGAAAAATAACACCTAGCTTTTTTTGGCAAGTTAGAAGAGAGTTTATTGTCTCTGAGAAAGATGGTAATTTGTTTGCATGAGTTCCATCAAAGCTGTTTAAGGGAATCTTTCTGTAGCCTCTAGCTTGCAAGGAAGAAAACAGATTCAAACCTTACCCCTCCCTCCTTGGCTTATTGTTTATCTGTTGAAATGTGTTTTCTTTATATACTTATATTTACCCACTCACTTTGATGATTTTCTGTAATAGATGTGCACAAAAAGGTAAGCTCTGGAATTAGTGTCTGCCAGAACTGTTTGAACATAATGGTGATGCACGTACAGTCACACACTTTTTTTGCCAGAAGGGGCACACCTTTTTGGGCTTACTTCATGAAAAAATAGTTTCTTTTTATAGCACAAGCCATAAATGTATCCATGTACCGTAAACCTTTTTTCTTTGTCTGTTTGTGCTGCACAGAATTATTTCAGTTTTATTCATAGGCCTTGACAGAATTAGCCTAAGTTCTTTATCACAAACAGAAGTTATTTCACCTCTAAAAGAGTAATAATTTAAAAGATCCTATATAACAAACACAAAGTATTTAACTAGCTAAACAAAGCCTGTTCACATGCTTTATTAAACATCTCTCTGGTAAAATTTGAGCTGTTGTACTAAATCCTGAGTTTGTTCTTGAAATAATCAAACTATTCCTGTTATCCTGCATACAATGTCACTGGAACCCATAGTAGCAAATGTAACTCCAGTAATATCAAGTACTGCTGATATGTGAAAATGATTATCTACTGCCAATAACCAGCATGTAAACTGCACACCTCTATCCTAAAAGAGAAAAAAACCACAGAGGGAAAAAAACCCACTAGAAATGTGTTGAGGTTCCACACGTGCTGTCTAGCTAACTCAGGAAATTTTCAAGTCATCAAGATTTCTGTAAGTGCTGGCATTAAATTTAAGCACAGGAAACCTGCTTTAACAGCCTATTTCATACATTACTATCAAAAACACTGACTCCAAAAGTGAAGCTGGAAGCTTTTCTGCTGATGCCCAAGCAGAATATTTCTAAGACCACTCTTCTGCATCCATTCAGAGAAATACTGTGCACAGGCCACCTCACAAGTATACTTGAGCTGAAAGGCTCCTTTCCCAAATGCTAACCTGAAAATACTAGCGAAGTTTTTTAAAAGTATAGATAAAATATATTTATGGTCACATCAGATTCTATGTACATTTTCTCATGACTGAAGTTATATATAATTTATACTTCAAAGAGAATCATTAAATATCTTATCTTTGGCCTCTACTAACATTTCTAACTTTACCTTTTTTTCTGATTGGAAGAATGATATGCACCTCCTTATAGCATTGGATTTATTCTACCTTTTTGACATAGGAATCTGAGGGATGCTATACACTTGAGCACATTAAGATGGAGCCATTCCTTAACATTTGGATTTCTGGCAACTAAATCTCAGTCTTGGTGTCTGTTTTATATACACCAGCTACACAGTGCATGAAAATAATCCGTGCACTTTTGCCCTCCAACAAATACAAAGATCATCTCTTCATTAATAATTTTAAAATTTCTATTTCCTTTGCGACTATTTATTCATATCAATTTGTTCTGCAAATTGCAGTGGAGCTTTTGAACACTTCTTCTGAGGTCAGAATTTAGTTCTTTTGAAGTCCTGAATCCATGTAACAATTTTGGTCTCAATCCTGCTGCTGGGTACATGGGAAATAAAACTTTCAAAATAAAAAAATGTTGTTGCGTACACACTAAAATATATTTTCAATGCATTATAATGAAGCTGCTTTAGGAACTACAGTGGTCTTAATAAAGAGTGAATGGAAAGAATAGCCCTGAAGTCAACATAATTGTTGGAACTAGTATGTCAGGGTTAGAGCTGCAGTCAATATATATAACAAAGTAAGTCAAACAGGCAGGTCAGAAGCATTGTTAAGCTGGAAAGACAAAGACAAGTAGTTCTCTAGTTCTCCACTCCCACCAAAAATGAGCAAAGGAAAATATGTGCCTGAAAAGTCCATTAACTCCATAAGAACAAAACTCACTTAGCAATCTCAATCCAGAAAAATAAATATTGTATGTGCATATCAAGTAAACCAGCCTGTGCAATTATATGTAATTTAACTATAAATGTTTTTCCCCTTTTATGATTTAACTTCTTGTTCCTGCATTTTGCTTCCTGTTAAGTAATGGAGTCAAACAAACAGCTGACAGCATCTGGTGTCTCATGTTTAAGATAAAATGACAAATAACACCACAAAATGCAGATTCTGGAAATCAAGATCCCTTGAACCCGACAGACTGTGTAGGGTATAGAAGAGAGGAGAAGAACCACCGCCACAGAGGGGGCAGACGTACCGTCAAACAACCCATCAGGCTCTGCTCAAACGGTCTCTGGAAGGCTCTGGGGTCTCCGCACCAGTCCAGGAGCTCCGTTGCTGCATTATGGAAGTTTGCAGGGTTCTGTAAGTGCTGCAAAGAGAAGGTGAAGCAAGACGGTAAATAACATACACAAGGGCTGACATAGTCTTTTCTCCATCACATTAATGCAAAGTTTGGAAAATAGGAATGGCATTTGGAAGCAAGACCTTAACTTGTACAGTGAACATAAAAAATCCTACTTCATTCTTACTAATACTTATGCAGATTTTCTAATTTTCTGATAAGAACTGAATAGTTAGAGGTGAGTTGTAGTTGAAAATCCAGAGTGCCCCTGAATTCCATCCTCCGTAACATCACCTCTCCCATCTGCAAACCGTAATGGATTCTACTCAGAAATCAAAACTGTCTGCGCCCAAATTGAGGGAAGTTTCAGTCTTAGGGTCATAGTCTTTGCCTTGGGCTTATGCCCCATTGTCGGGACATGCCAGCACAGCCACGTCTTCCAACAAGATTATAATCTTTGCCTGCCAGCCTGGAGACAAACACAACAGCCTCAGAAAACACCAGCAACAGAGCGACGCACACTTACTACACTGATGCTTTCTAGGAGCTTTGGTTTCTGTTCATCGTGATGTACCATCATGAGACATTTGGGAGATCAACTTTGGGATGATGAAAAAAATGACTGAAATGTGGTGGGATTTTGCCACGACCAAAAATGTTTTCACATCCACAAAAAGCACGTAGAAATGTCAGAGTGTACAGCCTCCTGAAGAGGCTGGCACAATTTTGAGAGAAAAATCTGGGTTTGTTTTGAAATTTGCATGAGTAATGTGATTTTTTTAACTCACATCATCTCTGCCTTTGTACTGAACAACCTGTAGTCCTGTTTTTAGAGGCATTTAGTAAACTTACCTGATACTATTATTCACACTGTCGTCCCTCACTGTGCTACACCGGCAAAGTATTCCAACATTTTAGCAGAAGCAGAGGGAGGGCACAGGAAAGAAGGGATTCAATTTGCATGAATAATATTGCTACTAAATTCTCCAGTTCTGGTGACGCTGGATGTTTCAATGAAAACTCCAGAAACAAGAAGAATAGAGTATATTTAGGAACCGATGGTATAGTTTTAAATAGTAGTTTTATAATTCTTGAGATCGTTGGGAAAAACATGAAAATGAGATGAGCATTTTATCTGGAAGGCACAAAACCCAAAGGCATCATTTTTTAAAATACATCATTATTTTTGAATCAGTTGCATAATTTGGGAAAACATGACTGCTCATTTCTAAGTATCTGGATTAACAATAATGTTCACAACCTATTTTTTTTTCCCCCCTCATGCCTGAGAAGCCGCATATATTAACTCTAAGACAAATGAAGGAAAAAAATTCCTCCCATGCCAGGTTTTGAGGAGTTCCCAGTCCGTGAGCTTTTGGATCACATTACTGTAATTCTTATTCAATGAAGGTTCTTGGTCAGAGGCCTTGTTTTAACAAGAGATGAGTGACATGAGGGGCAGGGATTTTTAAAACAATAGCAGAATTTGAAAAAGCAGACAGGCGTTGTGCAATGCGGTTTTCTTCCTCTGCTCTACAAACACTGGTACAGCTCCCGGTACCAGCCCGTTTGATAGCTCTACCTAGGCTGCAGCTCACAACACTTCTTTGCCAGCTCATCATCTAGTTGTTGGAGGAGTCAAACTATTGCATATATGAATTAAAGAGAAGAATCCAAGTAAATAAACATAAGAAGTCATACTTTAAGGCTTCTTGTAATAAAAGTCCCATGAACAGAGCTGGCAGTTTGGGTTATGAATCTTATAAGTAAAAGGGGAAAGGATGCCCTTTTGAAGGCTTCATTTAATCCTCCAGAGAAGTGATTGCCTGACACCAAACCTCTCAGTGCTCCTTCCGCACGCCACTTTCATCTGCAGGGGAAACAGAAGTTGGTGCAAACCCCTCTACAACAGCACACGTACTGCTGCTATCAAACATACAACTTCCAGAAGGCAAGAAAAGTGCATAAGCTGGTGAACAAATCACACCACACCAAAAACATACTGCACTGGTAGGACACAGGTCACAGATCTCTCAGTAGGGGAAAACATGCAACACCAAAACCCCCTTCCCCACAGAGACAACATAAGGAAAAACTCACTGAAAGCTACTCAGTTGAAATAGTCTTTAATAATCCTTCCCTCCTTGTGAAATGAACTGAGATCCGCTGATGAAAAGCCCTAAATAAGAGCTAGATGCTGTTTATTTTCACCAGTGTTGCCTTTTGCCAGCTACACACGTGACTTCTTCCACTAACGCTCACAATGAAATTTCTCCATTGAGAAACAGACATTACACTTCAGCCAGAACAATTTTTATAGGTTTAGGCTAAGAAATAAAATGCAGGGCAGGATCTTAGCCATATGTTTAATTTTCAGTTTAGCACCACATAATGTCAATTTCTATTTACCATGACACCACTGAAGAGTAGTATCCCCTTCCTAGAGTAAAGGTCCAACGTACATTACATTTGCACTTCCCTGTCCAAGAAAAGGCTCCTTCTACTTCCCTGTGTCAAAGCAGGGCTGATCTCAATGACTTGATTTAATTTAATTGTTCTGTAGCTCTCCATCAAGTTACTTCACTGCACAGGGATGGAGCACCGAGGCACAGTGTCATAACCCACTTCTTAAAATACAGAGAGGTTCTGAAATCCTAACTTCTTAAATGCAACTATGCCACTGAAACCAGTTTAGAAACTCATTGAGCAAGATAAGCAATTCTATTACTTCTATTATAGGCTAAAAAGCCCCAAACAAAACATAAGAAGTAGTTGTCAAATAACCACTGGTTTCCACCTCTGTGCAGTGGATTTGAGTAGCTTCCGTGGTGAGAGGGAAGTTGGTCCTGCAGGGACAAGTCTTGCAATGTCCCCCACAGTTCTGTCTGGGACATATCTCTCACAGCTTTCTGACTGACTTACTTTTTTGAATTAAGGTTCTCTGATTTTTCTTTTTCATATTACAGAGGGCAAGGTTGCTTTTGTGAACAACAGAGAGAAGATGCAGCATGAACCAAAGCACAAAGGCAGGTGTAACTCCTTCCCTCAGTTATGCAAGAAGGCATTACAAATGCCTACTGTAATTTTTTATTTATTGATAGCTTAAACACTGCACCTGAGGCAAAGAGCCCCAATGACATTCATGTCCTCAGAACAAAAAGCCTGCTTGAGAAGACTATTACAACTACTATATTCACTGAACAAGGAATTTGAGAGATTTTCTTAGCTCTCGATCCAAGAACAGAAGTACAAAACAAAGCTTCTGCCAGATCCATCCATCAGCTTTGTTGTGAAGCATTTCCCATGCATGGCTCCATCCTCTTCAACTGAAATTATTGGCAGCATTTTGACAGCAGCAAGGCGTGTGCCTGAAGAGTCTAGTCTGAAACTGTGCTTCATGTAAACAAGGAATAAAAAAAAAAGATAAATCACCTCATTAGCAGATGATTTAGAAAAAAGTAACAATGAGCCAGATCTGGCTAGGACACACCTTGGTGTACCTTCAAAGCTACTAGTGAAGGGCCACCTAACACCACCATGCTGGCAAGCAAAGATTTTTTTTAACAAGTGGGGAGGATTTGTATGAGTAAAATCTGAAGTGGAGATGAATGAGGCCAATAAACTCAATGAATTGATTATCTACCAGATTGCTTTTAGTATTATCTGCTTTTTAGAAGGCTATTAGTAAAACATGACAATTTCTATTATTTCAAAACTTAAGAAATTTTTCAGCGTAATCATTCGTAACTCTAAAAACCTAATATTTCCTTAGCCTGAGTGGAACAGAAATCACAGAAATACTTGATGCATGTGAGTGTATCATTATTGCAGGGATCACCAGGTGGTGCTTTGAAGAGAGAGTCTCTCACAGTCATTTATTTTTGGTCTTGGAAGAAATCTTGTGTTCTTTGTAGCACTTCAATTAACAGTCTGGTGTAGGGGGATGGAGAAAACAGCAAAGGACTTTGCTCTCCATTTTGCTACATCCAACAAGAGTGAATTGTAGCAGCAAAGCCCCTTTCTGAGGACTGGGCTGTCATTTGGGCTGAATTCCAGGGAAGACAGGAACATCTACCTGCTGCTTGTGACCACCTCCAGCTTAAACATTTTATTTACGTAATTTGCATCTTTGTAAATTACAACAGAGACATGGGCAGAGAATGCAGGTACATTGGGGCCCAAGTTCATCAGCTTTCACAGCAACTGTCTGTGCCTCATTCATGGTTTGCTGCTGTGTAGTTGCTGGGGTGGGGGGGAACAACATCATTCACATGGGCAGTTACACACAAAAGCCAATACACAGCAATTTTTAGTGCAAACATTTCAAAATACAGCCACCTCTCAAAATTGTTATTCCCTTCTAATTAGACAGTGACCAAAAAGTCTCAATATCCAATAAAACTCTGCAATGGGCCCAAAAGTATGTTTCATCCCACATGTGAATTTAGGCCCCTATGAGTGAAATAGGCACATGCAATAAAGATCTTATTTTTTAAAAGGATGCTAAAGCACAACCAAGTACTTTCAGCCTACACACCACAGTGGGTTCAAAACCACTTCCAGCAACCAAAGACTCAATATGATTTTAGAGACAGAAACCAATTATCCACATGGAAATATGGCAAGGACTACAGCCTTATCTCCTCTAAATATAGAAGACTGCAACCCAGATGTACATGCGTGTATCGTAGACAGAGCAGTCCAGTAAGTAATGGAAGAATAACACTCAAAATTAAGAGCAATTACAGAGGGTTAATGTTATCTCACACACACATCAAGAAATGCTAACATGACAGCAATGGTATGGAAAGTGAATCATTTAAACATGGAATCCATATGTTCCAGTTTGTTGCTATAGAAAACAAATGTAGAATTTCAATTTACAAATGACATCTCTCTGGTGGAGGATTTTTTTCCTCTCTTTTCTGTGGAATCTATCAGACTGAAGGCACAGACCTAATTTGCCACAACTTAACCTATTCAAAATGAGATGTCATGCAAATAAGTTTTTGAGCAGCAAACTGCTT